ATGCAACTTATTATTGTACCGGAAGAACAACTTTTTTAACCGCGCTTGTAATGTTTGAAATATCAATTTGAGAGGATAATTATTAGACAAAAGAACTCCAATCATAGACTCAAAATTATCTTTATGGAATTTCGGATGAGATAGCCAAAAAACTCTATCTATGAGGCTGATAATGGTGCCTTTTTTATGGCAGAGAGGATGCTGCGACTCAAAAATCTCTAATTAATATTTACCACATAAAAAATATTAATATCTACCACTATATAATGTAAAATATGTTTGATAAATTTTATAAAAATAGTAAAATTTTAATAATTTCAAAATATATTAAAATCTATATCAAAAACTTCTTTAAGTGTTTTATCAAAGCGTATTTTTATCATATCATTTACAATCAATGCATATTTTTTTTATTCAGTTTTTTATTCATTAAATATAATTTTAATATTAAACGTTATAATTTTTATAATTTTTTTATTAACAATAATTAAAAGTGTATACGTCTTGTCATTATTATTTTTTCAAATATATTATTATATAATCTGTATAATTTTTTTGTTATTCCAACGTCAATAGTTATATTCTATTCATTAAAAAGTATGATATAATAATTTATAAAAAACATAAAAAAATATTTAAAAAATATAAAAAATAATAAAATAAATATAAATAAAATATAATCTGTAATATATAAGACCAGAAATTAAAAAAAATTTTAGGCCAAAATAGATAAAGCGATATATGATTCTGATTTTTATCAATGCTTTGTATAATATTCGCATGTGAGTCATAAATATCGAACGTCAGTTCTAGTTTTATTATCTTTGAAAATCATCAGATGTGGAGGAAAAAGCGAAATGTTTTATGTGTCAGGATTACAAGGACATTTCTTTTCTTTTATCTCACACTGCACAACCAAACAAAAAATGTATTTCGTTTTCTATTGTCCTTTACATATAATATTATCTTTAAATATAAAATTCTTAGATACCTAAGAACACAAAGAACGAATATAGGAAATTTTTATCATGATTTTTAACATACATATAGGTTTTTTCGATATACAAAATTTTAGCTATTGTATTGTAAAATGTTTTCACGTTTAATATCTATTTTTATACAATTACAAATTTATTTTTACATATATGAAATTTGATTCTTGAAGATAATATAAAATGACTTTAATACATATCAAACAATTTATTCGTAAACTATTATTAAATATCATCGAAATAAAAGATATTTGCAAAAATGTGTATGTCTTAATGCGTTATTGCTAAATCATACCAATTTTGTATTTTATTTCAATAAGAACATTTTATGCTACTGAAAAATTGCTGAAAATAAAACTTTTGTTTAAACTATATTATAAACATATACTGTATTTACGAGATATATAATGTAATCCTATTTTTTTCCTTTATTTTATCGATTACAAAGAAATAATACATAATAAACTTACATACTTGATTAATTAAATTGATTGTATCCGTCCTTGAAAAGCTAATTTTTGAACCATTCCTTAACAACTTCTTTCAAAATTTTTAAAATAATTTTACAATTAATTTTTATAAAATTTTACAAATATAATATTTCTTTGAAAATATTTTTATCAAAGATTTCATATATTTTCCAACAGTTTAGTGAGTGTGTCAAATATATATACAATAGCTGTTCCCCACTTGTTGTTGCCCCATTGTTTGTTAGGTTTGTAGCTGAAGAACCCTCTATATAAGAGCATGCACATTTTCGGGCATTCTGTGTCTAAAACTGTGACCTAAAACAGTCTAGCTACATCTTATCGTTCTATCGTGCAAATTTTGTGTTTTGCTACCGCGTGTCATCAAAAAATATTGTAATATCTATTTTATTCTCTAAGTGAACACAAAAAACTTTGTTCAACGAATAATAATCCAAGAAAAAATATTAAAATATTAAAATAGTGCTTTATGTGTGTTTTTTTGAGTATTAATTAATTTCATTTATAAAAAATATGGCGATCCGAGTGATTAAATCCGGGCAATTTAATACGGCACTGACATTAAAAGAGCATAATGCAGATTTGTATATTAAATGGAATTCTTCCAAAAAAAATATATTCAGTGGTCCATCAAAATGTATGGAAGTAAATTGTGCTTATGGAAATATCACCAGACATTATTTAATGCCAGAAATTGATCCTCAATTTGGGGAAATAATAGGTAAGACTATAAAGAATTAATTATATGAAAAAGTATATCTGTAATAATAAATTTTAAGACAAAATTATTTCTTAATTTTCTAATATTGCGTATTACTTCAAGGTACCGATAGTTCGGCGAAAATGATAGAACATGCGAGAAAAAACTATAAAAATCATGATAGAATTGATTTTGACGTATTAGATATTCAAAGCAAAAATTTACCTAATGAATATATAGGTAAATTCGATAATATTTTTTCGTTTCCCACTATATTTTCTCGCAATGATCTTGAGTAAGTATAAATATATAATTTTATTTTGTAAAAATGAGCGAAAATTTTATTAAATATATGTGTGCTTTTACAAAAGCTATTTTAAATAAATAATATTTTTGTAAAATCTTTTAAAAATTTCACGAAATTGTTTTTTTTGAATTTTTTGTCGGCATTTATGCAAAATATTAAATACTAATAGTAAAAAATACAACATTTTCTAACAATAATGAATTACGTTAATTGATTTTGGTGCAACAGTAAAATAAAATTAGTTTAAAATATATTTTTCCAAAAATATTACAATATTTGTAATTGTTTAAAATTAATTATATATTTTTTTGTTTATTTAATAGACAAGAATTTAAGAATATTTTTGATATGCTGAAAGTTGGAGGACACTTTCATGCATCTATCGTTATAAAACATGATGCGTTTAATCTTTATAACATATTAAAAACGCATCCATCTTATGGCAAATACTTTGAGGTATGTATTTGTTAATATTTTAGATATTATTTTCTAATTATAAATTTTCTGTTACATATTTTTAATTATTATTTTTATATTTTCATGATACATAAAGAAATATACATCGAGGTTTCATGACGCGAATGATTATACAACATTAATGACATTTGTAAACATACTTGAAGATACAAGATTTAAAACTGAATATTGCTTTTTTAAATGTAATGTAAAGTATAAATCAGAATACCTCATGTGTAAGTATTTTTATTTCTCACCATACGTGTATCAGACATAAAATTAAAATCTTATTTAAGAAATCAAATTTATCTTAATGTATGTATATAACTATTTAATAGTAATATGAATCACATCATCAGTAATACAATTAACTTTTACGTATGTATACATATGTGTTTTTCATGGGAGTTATTATTATTTTACAGCGTATATTCTCTCCGGTCTTCCCTTCATACATCAATTGAAATCTGAAGAAGAAGAAGACTTAAAACAGCATTTAGAACACGAATGGAACAAAATGAAAGAAAACGATGCTAAGTTTCGCCAAAACATTGACGAATATAACACAATAGAAATACTTGCATGTAAATGCTCTACATGATAGAATATTATAAAATCTATCATAATATAATATGGCAAATTAAAATTATGTACGTAATAGACATTCAAGAATTAAAATTAAAATATAAAATACATAATAAAATATAAAATTACAATATAACTGTATATAATATACTGTAGCATCATTTATACCTGCATTATTTTTTAATGAAAATTATGGAATTGTGATTCTCAAATTTGTATTAGTATTCTACTTATAGTTTACTATACAATAATTTGCTATCATAATTAAATTGATAATTTGATAAATTTGATAATTATATTTGACAAAACTGAGATGATTCATGAGTCGGCACAATTACTTTTATGATTAAATATTTTGTGATTAAATATCTACGTTTTCATTAAATTTGCGCGAAACTCCACACCACATACATCCAGAGAGAAACAAGAGAGCGGCCACCGGGATTCAGCGGCCGCGTGTACTAGTACGCTCCTTCCCATACAGCACACAAGTTTGCAGCAATATTGCAACAACATTGCAATATTGCTGCAAACTTGTGTGCTGTATGGGCTTGACAATGTGGACATAAACTACGTCGTGACGCGCGGTAAATGATTCGCGATATGGTTCATGTTTGAACTATTCAGCTAAGAACCAAGTTGATAACCGAACAGCTGAGTCAGACAAGGACCGACGATCCATCGATTTGGCTTTGTCTTATCTCAGCGATGCGTCTCGTGGACCCGTGACAAGATTTTTTGTCATAACTGTTCAATTTTTATATTCTAAACATTTAAGAAAATTCAAGAAAATTTAATGAAATTAATTTTTCAAAATTTTAATACATTTCCTTAAATGTAATATTATCTGTGATTTGTTGTAGCAGCAATCACTTAGCATAAAAAATTATATATAAATAAGAAAATAATAAAAAAAATTAGATTCCTTATATAAATTATTGGAATGTTTTTCATTATATATTTGTATAACAAGTATAATATTTATTTATAAATACATGCTCAATATGTTGTATATGGAACAAAGCAGCTTAACATTACTGATTTTGTTATATTATAATGATGTGATTTATGTATAAAAAATTTTAGCCATCGTTTAGCTTTTATTAAAATGTTATTGCGCTTAACGTATGATTAAAAACTTTTTATCTATATATTCTATTTATATATGATTTAACATTTAACATACATAATTTGGGTATTTTTTTCCTTTTAGAGAAATCAATATTATATAATTTTATAATATTGTATGACGACATAGTATCATAAATAAAATAAAAAAATTAAAGTAAAAATATATAAAATAAATAAGAAGAAAAAAGAATACGACTGCGAATATTTCACCTCACTTCAAATTGCAGCTTGATATTTGTTCAATTGATACTGAATGACATCTCCTTCCAACTCATACACAATTAATAATAATAATTATTAAGAATTTTATATATCAAATATCGCAACACACTAAGTGAAGAATGATTATGAATGAAGAGAAGAAAGACACATTTACAATCGAGATGGAAGCGAGGATGTATGCGCCTTTAGAATGGGATTCGCCAGCGATATGCAAAATACAGGATCTTAAAGAGGCGCAGTACGAGGAAGCTCTGCGTCTGATAAAAGTTTAGTAATGCGAAGGGGAAAAGATGTATAAAATAAATAATATGATGGCATTAATCAATCGAATTTTTTATTGGAATGTAAAACGAATCAACAACGTTCTTTGTTCTCCATTCCATACATTCTTCTATTTTTACTCATGTGAAATAATGTTTTCTCCTGCAAATCTTCCTCAGTCAAAAAAATAGCGAATATATTCTATTTAACAGTATTTGTATTATGGCTAAAATAATGTAAAATTATTTTATGCAGTAAATCAAAAAATATTAAATTGATTACATCGATTTCGTCTCAATATTGCAGTATCTCACTTTAGCTAATTAATCATTGAATACTAATTAATAATTAAATATAATAAAAAATGGAAAGTAATCTTCCTCTTAAATATTGCGCAAATAAAATTTGAGTTTCTTGTGCAGCATCATTTCTTTCGAGAAGAGCCGATGTGTAAAGCGGTGTCTTTACTGGAGGATCAGAAATCCGTAAATGTATATCTCGACCTTGTAAAAACGTGGATGAAAGACACCACCAGTTTGGTAGCACTCAGTTTAGCATCAGGACGTATCGTCGGAGTCGCCGTTGCAAGAATTAAGAGTGATGCAGATAAATCCGACACTTATGATCGGGTGCAAGTAAGTGCGCTGTTATCATATAAAAATATACAATAATGTCTGTTTAAGATATTTAAAAATTTGATATAACTACAGAATATCAAATACATTTACATACGGTAACATCACATACAGCACAAAATATTTTTAAAATCATTTAAAAATATTTTTTAAAAGATAAAATAATTTTCGAAAATATTTTAAAAATGTTTCTATGTCCGCTTTTTCGTGTTTAAAAATATTTTTGAATATACATAGATTTAAACTAATATTTCAAAAATATGTATCAAATATTTAAGAAAATATTATCTGAGCGATAAAAAGAAGTACATTTTTAAAAGTTTTTAAAAATATTTTAAAAAATGTTACCACAAAAAATTTTTTAATTATTTTAAAATATTCCTAAAACCATTTTATGCTAATGTTATGTTAATGTTTTTATGCAATATTTTATAGCAATATTTAGAAATATTTTTGAAAACATTCATAATATTTTGTGCTGTATGGGATACTTTAATATGTTATTATTTTAATTATGCACGAGAGAATTTTCTTAATCGCGGGACAATATGGTATTGAAATAATTTTATATGAGTTTCTCTGATTAATATTTACCATAATAAAAAATATTCATATGTAAATTTTATTATGCACATAGTAAAATTAATCGAACATATTTTATATCTCATTGTGGCAGATATTAATATTTTTTAAATATTTTTAATACAATTACCATGATTTTCAAGGTGAATTCTAAAAGATTATAAGATATTATTTTTTTAAATAATAATCCTTAAGGTTGCCAGTAATAATTAATAAAAAACCACTCCTCAATGTTTAAAGTCGACCAGACTGGCAATAATTTATTATAAATAATTATTTGAAATACAACAACGTTTCGGCTGTCATTGCAGCCCTTTTCAAGTACATCTATAAAAAGTTCCATCAAAATAATTATAATTTAATACACTTATTCGCAACAATTAATTATACATTTAAAAACAAAAATGTGTTACATACCAAATTTAAAACAGTAAATCAACTTCTATGCAAACTACCGACAATGTTAACGCTTGTTTTGATGAACAATGCAAGACTGACAGAAGTAAGCACATATTAAATAGATGTTAACTGTTCGCAAGAATCTTAGTCACTAAGCGTTAAGAAGATAGAGACGAAACTAAATGTGTCTTTCGTAATTTAAATCGTCATAATAAAGTCAAATAAATAAAAATAAATAAATAGGTGGATATAAAAATAAAAATAAAATTAAAAGTAAAAATAAATATAAAACGACTTAAATAACGTCAAGAACACGATCATAAATCCCACTGAAATTCTCCGTATCTTTCTGTAAATTAATACTTTTTCCTTGTTTTTTTATGTAAAACATTTCTGCAATTTCTCTTTTTCTTGTCTGTTTTTCCTCATGCAGAATCACCGGAGAATCCCAACGGAACTCATGATCGTTGCAAGTCCGATGTAAACTAACGACAGAATGCAATGTCTTGTCTTTTTTTATGTTATTTCTATGTTCTTTAATGCGCGTTTCTAAATGTCTCTTTGTCTGTCCTATATAAGCCGAATCGCAATTCGCACAATCAATTTTATAAACAACATCAGTTCTTTTTAAGTTTTCGATCCCATCTTTACCTCTTTTTATCAACGTGTCCAATTTTTTTGGGACAGTATACAAAGCATCAATTCCACTTTTATTGATGCAACGCGTAATATTCTCGCTAAGATCTTTAATGTAAGGTAACACAATGCAATTTCGCGTATCAAATTTATTTCGATTGGGCGAGTTAAGATTACCGCCAAATTTAATCGCTCGAAGTCTTTTATTGATGTTTTTGTTTATAATTGTTAACGGGTAACAATTATTAATAAGGATTCTTTTGATTAAATTAATATTTTCTTCATGAAAAATAGGGTCAGCGAGTAAAATAGCCCTATCAACTAGGCTTGTAATCACGCTAATTTTATTCTCCCGACTGCTGCCAACCGTAGGTTGGCGAAAAGAGAGGAAGTATGCGTTTCATCGAGCCCGGATCGGTCGTGACCTTAATTCTCGATAACTACTGCATAGTTTTATATCAACTTTGGAACATAAGTTTCTTATTAATCAAGGAAGGTTTAAAGCGTATTATTATCGTTATTTATTCTATTAATAAAAAGTGAAAAATGAGTATTATTTCGTCAATACGGTCTCTCATTGGCTGCTGTGTGAACCTAAGAGGAAAAATGATTCACCAATGAGATTCGTTGTAGTATCCGGATAGGGAATGTTGGTGACATTGGTATATACATCTCGAAGTAATAATGACGGGACTGATAGGAAAGGTTAGCTGTCACCTGTTGCGTGTTATTGTCAACAACAATATTAAGTGAAGTGTATTATTATGGATATATCTCAAGAAGATATAAATAAAGGAGTAAGTTTCTTCTTTTATATTTATTGTTTTTTTCTTTATTTAGAATATTGTTATTATTATTTATTTATTGTTTCTTTATTTATATGTAGGAAGAAGATACTCGCTTGAAGATATCTGAAGAAGAAAACATTATTAATAATAGAAAACAAGTAAATCTTGTTATTAATAATTAATAAAAATATATAATATAATTAATAATATAATTAATCTGTTGTAGTCATAACATGGCTATATGAATTTATATTTGTCTGCGTAGCCACTTATTTGCTATTAAATTTGCTACGTAGCCACATTGCTATAAATATCCACATATATAATTGTATAAATGTATATAGTTATTTTTTCTCTTATTTGTATATTATATAATAATTATATAATTAATTAAAAATATGTATACAAATATATTTATAGTTATACAAAGATATTAGCGCACCAATAATTATGGCAATGCAGACAAATATATTAACTTACATAGCCAATTATCTACTACAAAAGATTATTCACATATGTAATAATAATTAAGGCTATACAAATATATAAACTTACTTGTGATTACATAATGTATAAACTTATATAGCCATAAGAAAGTTAATATATTTGTCAAAGCCATAATTATAACTGCGTACAAGTTTACGTATTTGATATAAGATATTGTTGTCATCTGTCTTTGTCATCTGTCTCTCTCTATCTATCAATCTATCTATCTAGCTATTTTTTTTTATTTATCTCTCTATTTATATTATATTATATTAATTAAAAAAATTGTAGCAGAAAAATATTTGGAAAGAATATAGAACATTGCAGTCACATGGTGAGTGTATGTGTGTCTTTATTATTATTATTATTATATTATATACATTGTAATATATATATTACATAATAAAAACTTTTACATGTGTAGGATGAAGAAGCAGAGAGACAAAAGAATGAAGAAACAGCATAAGAACAGCAATAAATTAGAAAATAAATAAAAAAAAAAAATAATAAAAAAATTAGAAAATAAAAAATAAAAAATAAAAAACAATTAAAAAAAAAAATAAAAAATAAAAAACAATTAGAAAATAAATAATAAAAATAAATTAGAAAAAAAAAATTAGAAAATAAAAAATAAATTAGAAAATAAAAAAATTAGAAAATAATAATACAATTTTTTACAAAAAAAAAACTCCCGACTGCTGCCAACTAAGTTTTAATGTTTAAATTAAAAAATAATGTTTAAATTAGAAAATAAATAAAAAAAAATAATAAAAAAATTAGAAAATAAAAAATAAAAAATAAAAAACAATTAGAAATAAATAAAAAATAAAAAACAAAACAAAAATTAAAAATAATAAAAGAACAAAAAAATTATAAGTATAAAAAATAAGCTTGTAAAAGTTGGAAATAATCACACATAAATAAAGTCTGTTGTTTATTATATAATTTTTCTTATTTAAATTTATTGTTATCATACATATTTAGCGCTATATAATTTACAAAAATTTCAGATTTTTGAATTCAAAAAATTTTTTTAATTATAATTATTATTATTAATTCTACAATTTACAAGAGCAGTCGGGAGACGCCGCGCTAAATTTGAGACATATACGCACGCGCACGTTTTATGTAATAAATAGACACAAACACAAATATCGATACTCAACGGACGTTACAGTTTTTAGACGCGCGGCGTCTCCCGACTGCTCTTGTAAATTGTAGAATTAATAATAATAATTATAATTAAAAAAATTTTTTGAATTCAAAAATCTGAAATTTTTGTAAATTATATAGCGCTAAATATGTATGATAACAATAAATTTAAATAAGAAAAATTATATAATAAACAACAGACTTTATTTATGTGTGATTATTTCCAACTTTTACAAGCTTATTTTTTATACTTATAATTTTTTTGTTCTTTTATTATTTTTAATTTTTGTTTTGTTTTTTATTTTTTATTTATTTCTAATTGTTTTTATTTTTTATTTTTTATTTTCTAATTTTTTTATTATTTTTTTAAATTTATTTTCTAATTTAAACATTATTTTTTAATTTAAACATTAAAACTTAGTTGGCAGCAGTCGGGAGTTTTTTTTTTGTAAAAAATTGTTATCTCATAGGATGATTTGACAGAAAATTAATATAGCGGCCTGAAAACGTAGGCTTTCGGTACCAATTAGTCGTCAATCTACCACCGATACGTATAACGTTCGTATCCAAAAAACTCAGAGAACAATTTTTCTCTAGTTCGAACGTAAACTTAAGTCGAGTGTGGAAACCATTGAACACACGAAGCATATCCTCAATTTTTCCTTTCGGAATAATTGAAAAAATATCATCGACGTACCTAAAATAACAATAGGGTTCGAAATCCAATTGACGCAAACAGTATGATTCCAAATCGTCCATAACAATGTCAGAAAGAATCGGAGACAATGGAGACCCCATCGGAGAACCGAAAACCTGTTCGTAAAATTTTCCGTCAAAAACGAAGCTCGTTGAGCGCATAACCGTGTCAATGGCGTGTAAAAACTGCGCAAGGCTAAACGAAGTAAATTGTGAGATGTCATCCCATCGGTTTTCTATTGCTATTTTAATTAATTCCCAAGGGGTGTTAGTAAAAAGTGAAGTCACGTCCAACGAAATCATAACATGGCTGTCGTCGATGTTTCTGTCTTTAATAATCTCCACAAAGGACCAACTATCCTTGACATGAGATCGAGGTTTATTGACTGCATTTTGTAGTATCTCACTCAAAAAGGATGCTATGTTGTAAATAGGACTTCCTACAGTTGAAATTATGACGCGGAGAGGGTAACCTACCTTATGAATCTTTGGTAAACCATACGCACGAGGCAAATTACCATTCGTACACCTCAATTGTCTGTATGTGTTATCGTCTATTAATTTATTATCTAACCTTTCAACCGTAGGAAGTCCTATTTACAACATAGCATCCTTTTTGAGTGAGATACTACAAAATGCAGTCAATAAACTTCGATCTCATGTCAAGGATAGTTGGTCCTTTGTGGAGATTATTAAAGACAGAAACATCGACGACAGCCATGTTATGATTTCGTTGGACGTGACTTCACTTTTTACTAACACCCCTTGGGAATTAATTAAAATAGCAATAGAAAACCGATGGGATGACATCTCACAATTTACTTCGTTTAGCCTTGCGCAGTTTTTACACGCCATTGACACGGTTATGCGCTCAACGAGCTTCGTTTTTGACGGAAAATTTTACGAACAGGTTTTCGGTTCTCCGATGGGGTCTCCATTGTCTCCGATTCTTTCTGACATTGTTATGGACGATTTGGAATCATACTGTTTGCGTCAATTGGATTTCGAACCCTATTGTTATTTTAGGTACGTCGATGATATTTTTTCAATTATTCCGAAAGGAAAAATTGAGGATATGCTTCGTGTGTTCAATGGTTTCCACACTCGACTTAAGTTTACGTTCGAACTAGAGAAAAATTGTTCTCTGAGTTTTTTGGATACGAACGTTATACGTATCGGTGGTAGATTGACGACTAATTGGTACCGAAAGCCTACGTTTTCAGGCCGCTATATTAATTTTCTGTCAAATCATCCTATGAGATATAAAATTAGCGTGATTACAAGCCTAGTTGATAGGGCTATTTTACTCGCTGACCCTATTTTTCATGAAGAAAATATTAATTTAATCAAAAGAATCCTTATTAATAATTGTTACCCGTTAACAATTATAAACAAAAACATCAATAAAAGACTTCGAGCGATTAAATTTGACGGTAATCTTAACTCGCCCAATCGAAATAAATTTGATACGCGAAATTGCATTGTGTTACCTTACATTAAAGATCTTAGCGAGAATATTACGCGTTGCATCAATAAAAGTGGAATTGATGCTTTGTATACTGTCCCAAAAAAATTGGACACGTTGATAAAAAGAGGTAAAGATGGGATCGAAAACTTAAAAAGAACTGATGTTATTTATAAAATTGATTGTGCGAATTGCGATTCGGCTTATATAGGACAGACAAAGAGACATTTAGAAACGCGCATTAAAGAACATAGAAATAACATAAAAAAAGACAAGACATTGCATTCTGTCGTTAGTTTACATCGGACTTGCAACGATCATGAGTTCCGTTGGGATTCTCCGGTGATTCTGCATGAGGAAAAACAGACAAGAAAAAGAGAAATTGCAGAAATGTTTTACATAAAAAAACAAGGAAAAAGTATTAATTTACAGAAAGATACGGAGAATTTCAGTGGGATTTATGATCGTGTTCTTGACGTTATTTAAGTCGTTTTATATTTATTTTTACTTTTAATTTTATTTTTATTTTTATATCCACCTATTTATTTATTTTTATTTATTTGACTTTATTATGACGATTTAAATTACGAAAGACACATTTAGTTTCGTCTCTATCTTCTTAACGCTTAGTGACTAAGATTCTTGCGAACAGTTAACATCTATTTAATATGTGCTTACTTCTGTCAGTCTTGTATTGTTCATCAAAACAAGCGTTAACATTGTCGGTAGTTTGCATAGAAGTTGATTTACTGTTTTAAATTTGGTATGTAACACATTTTTGTTTTTAAATGTATAATTAATTGTTGCGAATAAGTGTATTAAATTATAATTATTTTGATGGAACTTTTTATAGATGTACTTGAAAAGGGCTGCAATGACAGCCGAAACGTTGTTGTATTTCAAATAATTATTTATAATAAATTATTGCCAGTCTGGTCGACTTTAAACATTGAGGAGTGGTTTTTTATTATTTTTTTATGCAAGTTTCTAATTTTTATCATTATATAATGATCTTCATAAATAAACCTTAAATTAAAATTCTATTAAAATAAACTTTACCTAAAATTAATTAATAAATATATAGCTATGACAATCTTTTAACTTTATAAAGTTTAATTCGCGAAAAGCCTCTTTTTTTTTAAATCGCTTATGACTCGAAAATAATTAATTGACGTTTACGTTGACAAAAATTGTTTTCAAATAATCTCAAGTGTCTGTCATTAACAGATGATTAGCAAATGACTTTGAAAGATCTAATATAAAAAAAGTAACTTAATAGGCCAACAATCGAGCAAAAATTAGGTGTAAATAAAAACTTTTTCTTTATTATTAATAACCTTCATATGTAAACGTTTCGACCTCACTAAGGTCTTTTTCAATATAAAATTTAAAAATTAATAAAACATTAAAACATGATATAAAATTATGATATAAAAAAAACATATGATGTAATGTGGTATCGAATTTTTTTTTTATATCATAATTTTATATCATGTTTTAATGTTTTATTAATTTTTAAATTTTGTATTGAAAAAGACCTTAGTGAGGTTGAAACGTTTTTATGTAAAGGATATTAATAATAAAGAATAAGTTTTTATTTACACCTAATTTTTGCTTGATTGTTGGCCTATTAAGTTACTTTTATTAATTTTGAATTTATGCGAGCTTTTACTTTCTGAAGATCTAATGTAATATATATTTGAAATTTTTGATGTAGAATTTCGAGGGCAAAGCCTTGGAGAAAATTATGGGTTTAATCGGCGCTTTAATAAAACAGACGAGTGCGTACAAAGAGCTGGAATGCGATGCATATTTTCGAGTCCACATCCTTTGCGTTCATCCGTCTTATCAACAGAAGGACATCGGTGCAGCCCTTTTGAATGCTTGCATCCGAATTGCGTCCACGTTGAATATGACAGCTATCGGTGGCATTTTTACATCGGGTCGCAGTCAATCGCTTGCGCTAAAATTGGGTTTGCATCTCATCTCGGAAATTCGCTACAGTCGATGGGTCGTCGACGATCAAGTCATGTTCGATGATACTGGAAAAGGGAATTATTCGGCTGCTTTTATGGGAATACGAATATCTCGCGAAGAATCGCTCAGCAATTAATAATCGCTCTTGAAATTAATAGATCCTCAAATAAGAATCTGGAGTTGACGGCGACCAGATATAGAGAAAAATGTATTTTATTGTATAGTATTTACAGATGACAGAGAAATTTTCAATATTTCTGATTGTTTTTGCCATTTTTGACGAAAGAAAATCACTAAAATAATCAGTACTTTGAGAGTCTCTACTCTAAATAATAAATAATAATTATTATATAATGTAATAAATAAATTGATAGGAAAAATTTAATATTTTGCATACATTATAATAAAATATTGTAATAATTTTAAAAATATATTGTTATTTTAATAAGAATTATTTACCTAAATTATATATCTAAACTTTTTTTAAATTAATATATTTATTCTTATTATTAATACAGATAATTTTTAAATAGTATGTTTATTCTAATATAATATGGCAATAATGTTCAACTTTAAATATATTCTTTCATTTTCTTCTGAAAACAATCCATAGAAAGTAGTAAAGAATTATTTACAAACTTTTAATTTGAACATATTTAATTAAAATAATAATTACACGAATTATCCACCGAGAAGAATATTATGAAAGATGTACAATGCTCTTGTTTCATCAAATATAATATATCTCAATTAATATAAATATAGTACAAATAAAATCACACACATACACGCAACACCAATTAATAAATAAAGTAATTTACTCAGGAATGTATGACTCAATTAAGCGATTTGTAAACAGCGCCGTATTACGTCGAAAGAAACTTCAGGATTATATTCAAAAATCCGTCCGTCAAAGTGCAAAATTTGACCGACCAATCAGAGATCGATTCTCGCCGGTCGATGAATCTCGATTGCTCGATTCTCTCGAAACCACGTGACGTCATCGCGCCGACTCGAGCCACCTGAAGTTTGCGCGCGCGACTTTACTACGGCGGATCGCGAGGATTATCGGCTGCGCTTTCGTAAAAAAGGTAATTTTTAATTAAATAATAATTAAGGATACACATTATATTGATATACATATATGTCTCCTATTAATTATTATTTATTATATATTAATAATAATTATTATTTATTATTATTATTTATTATCAATATTAATTATTATTATTATTATTTATTATTTTTATTTATAACTTTTTAAATAGTAATTTTGCGCTTGACAATTTTCTAATTTTTTAATTATTATATATATTATATTATACGTGTTGTACCGCGCGGACTGAGTCTCTAGTTCCGCGGGGCGCCGACAGATGGCGCGGGCATCGCGCTGGCGAGTCGAAGCGCGTGGACAACGTGCGCGCGCGCCCGCTAGTCTGACGAGGACGCGTAGAGGGGAAGGTTCGTTGGCGGCGGAGCCGAGTGAAGTGCCGGCAGTCAGTGCACAACGGCCCGAGGTCTGTATTGATATATCGTACCGATTCGCGCTCTCGCTCTCGCGAGAGACGTACGCCGCCGCCAGTCCCGGGCCGAATAAGAAATTTCCGCCGTTACGTCGTTCGCGCGCGAGTGTCCATCTTAGGATCGAGCCCTCGAGAGGTGCGTGATTTATACGCGGTGTGCGATGGTAATCTCGGAGTGACGGATTCTCGCGGAGCCACACCGGTGCCAGGAGACGCAGGAGAGCGAGAAGGAGAGAGGGCGGGAGTCCGGGACGAGTCATCCCGGTGAGCACACAAGGATCTTTTTTTTTCTTTTTTAGGAATTATGTATATTGTTGTTGGAAATTTTTTTTTCTGGCGAAAAATATTTACATATATACATATATATATATATATATATATATATATATATATGTATATATATATATATCTTTGACATCTGATCCGAGAGACATCTGATCCTCTTCCAATACACGTGTGTATCTCGATTTTTGCACGTTTGCGAAAAGATCACGTCAATCGTGATTAATAATTATTATGTTTATGGCTCGTGTTTTATGTTGGTTTTGATTACTGAGATTTTGGATAAGAAGGCACGCACGCGGAAGAGATGCGTAAAATGTGCTATCGACTTTTTCGTAATATATATTTGATTCATGCGCGCATCGCTTTACTTGAATAAAGGATACCTGAAATGAGGAAACAATTGCGAAACATTTGTGTTATTTGAAACGAAATAATATACAGCTGAATATGCACAAATAATCTATAAAACGGATCGATAGGAATTTATTACGTAAAATTTGAAATAAAAGAAAAATATCAAAAATATTATGTGCACTAAAAAATAATTTGTTAACTTGACTAAACCTCTTAACTAAATTACAATTTTGATAATTGAATGTATATTAGTATTTAATATACGTTTTGTGAGATTTAATGTTTTATTTAATTTAAATCCTTTCATACATTTAACTCACAAAATAATAGTTGACAGGTTCAGTTAACAAATTTTTTAATGTAACTTTTATCTTAAAAAAATTATTACGTAATTAAATTGCACACATTGAAAGAATATTTTGTATCGATATTTTTTATTAATTGACTTTTTCGTAGAATTTTAATTGATTTAATAAAATTATATCTTTTGTGAAAAATAGATTTATATTAAATATATTAAATATACGTTGAAGCAAGAAATACTATATATAAAGAGACTAAACTTAATACTCTTGAAAGAAATATCATTTTTTTATCTTGAGATATCTTTTGTAAGTAGATAATAAATATAAGAAGGATAACATCTAAATTGTTGCTTTAAAAGAATAGAAAAATAAAGTATGTATGTTTTCTTTATTTTTTTATTTTGAAACAATATATATGTATATATAGTATATATAAATTTTATACGAGAGCAAACGAGATCTCTCAGCTGTGATAAAATTTCGCTGCGCACTCTGGTCTGGTTTCGTTATCGTAGAGTTCCTCGTCCGACAATCTCTCGTCTCGAGTGACATTTGCGCACGTGTTTTCTTCGAGACGTTCGCTACCTTTGAATCCCCCCTTAACAATGCTCAATTTCAGGAAATTACGTTTACTGACGATAACAACGTTCGTAATGTTTTTTTTTTCGAGGAAAGAAATTCGAGAGAAAAAATTATGAAAAATCTGCGCAGTGTCATAGATTCGAAAAATTATTCTTGGGAGAAGTTTTATTGTTAGAACAGAGCGCGATGCTCCGTGAAAGATGATAATTATCTCCGACGATTGTATTCGCGCGATGACGTCGAAGTTGATTTCCATGGGACATCCTTGGAACACGAGGGTCAACGAGCAACACGCTTGCTCGACATGATGTTTAACGATCCGGAAAATGTTCGGGAAGAGGGGAGAGAATCGAGCAAGGCTGTGAAGAAGCTATATCTTCATATTTAGTCATCAAATTTTTGAGAATCGAGTAATGAGCTGTCATTCGTGACACATGTTAATGTTGACATTTTCCGATATTTTTTTATCACATTTAAAAAGATCATATTTTTTGTCTTTAAGTAAAATTATCGAAATCTAAATAAATAATTAAATTCAATTTTAAACAACTGTAGGTACACAAAATTCAGTTATAATTTTTTGAAATATCTAATGTTAAGGGATTTGACAAGTAGTCTTATCTGTCAAATCTTGTTGGAAAAAATAAAAGTTCAAAGTAAACCATATTTTTTATATTTAAGAATTTTCGAAATTTAAATAAAAAATTAAATTCAATTTTTTTAGTTCAATTTTAAGCAACTGTATACAAAAGTCAATTATATTTTTTTTAATATCTAATGTTAAAGGATTTGATAAGTAGAGTTTTATCTGTCAAATCTCGTTGGAAAAAATAAAAGTTCAAAGTATTCATCAGGAAATCTTTTTTTAGCCAAATATTACATACTATTAATAAAGTATGTTAATAAAATATCATTCACATCGTGATTTTATTTTCTTACATTTTTAAAAATGTTTTATATCTTTATATATTTTATAATTATTTTTATATTTAATATTTATTTTAAATTTATTTTATATTTTTATTTTATATTTAACAATACATATAATTATATAAATTATATATGATGAAACGTCCCGATGAAAATATTTTGAATATACAAAGGTTAATTTGAGAAGATTTACTCGAACCTTCCCGCGAGTTTAATATCAGAGTTTAATGACTGAGGTTAACGCGGAAGTCGTTCCTTCGTATTGCTAAACTTCTTATCTCGAGGTTCATTAGATATCGTTGGCTGTCGGATCTGAGAGGGTGGGGACATCTTCGTTGCTGATTACATACCGGAAGTGGAATGTCGTTGCCGAAGCGCGATGATCTGTCGCCGATGGTTCGCGAGGATGTTCGTGCTCGGCATGGAACATCCGCGCTAATGACGGTGATAATAATAATAATAATACTAATGACGATAATGTCGAAACGATCGCGGGCACGAAACGCAATCTCTGGAACCTAAATACGGCTCCATTCCAATTATCGCGTTTGTTTGATAATGTTGGAAGACGAAAACCATTCAAACTTTCATGCGTTAAAGTGCAACGTACACAGTTGGAAAATTTGTGTTAATTTAACATATTTGCTGTTGTGTTCATTGAACTTAAATGTTAAATTATTAAGGTAGATAACTGAAAGAAGATATAAAAATATTTTTAATTGTACACAATAAATATATTCTGTTTTATTAATGACAAGATTTATCTGTCAAAATTTACCGAGAAAATTTGATTTTTTATTTTATAATATAAGTGGGGATGATAAAATCTAATATTAACAAATTTTTAGTTAATTTTTACATTAAAGCTCTCTATGTTAATTTTACACAAAATTTATTTTAAATTTGAAGTTTTGCATTTATTTTTTGTTAAAGTATTAACATAGTGTTTATGTCTCCATTTAACATATCTATATTACGTTGAATTAACACAAAAATTTCTGTGGGCCGTTTGGGACATGTGATATCTGTTAAATTTAACACAAATTTTCTGTTTAACAATATACATTTGATAATTTATTTTAATTTTATGCAATTCTCCCGCAAAATTTATCGCGTAACATTTACATGACTCTCTAGATTTATTAAAATTAAATATC